CAGAGCTTGCCATAGCCTGACCAGCTATTGGAAGAGCAGACTGGTTTTCTCCAGTTTCCAGTGCTCTCTCTAGAGAGTATTTGTGCTTTTCACTTAATAACTATAAAGCTGTCCCTTCATCAGTTTTGACTTTCCATTTTTCAGTTACTCAAGATCAAATGTTGTCTGAAATTATTAAGTGGAAAGTTCTAGAACTGAATGATAAAATCAGTTTTCAATTTTGAGTGTCTTGATATCTTACCCTGTTCCACTTGATCCTGTTTTGAGTGAGAATCATCCTTTTATATGATATATACACTACATGTATATCCTACCCATCTGTTAACCCCTGGTGGCTATTGTTTATTCGATTGTCTACTGTGGTGCACTTGTATTTAAGTGACTCTTACTTTATTTAGTTGGGTTGGTTGGGTTGGATTTGGTGTTTTGAGATAGGAGCTTGCTGTAAGGTTAGGAATTCAGGTTCCTCCTGCCTCAACTTCCTGAGTTCTGAGATGTCAGGTATGCACCAGCATACTATATTGTTATAATTATATTATATAGTTATGATTGTTCTATTGTCTTAGCTATCATTGTTGACACTTCACTATACCTAATTTATGGGTTAAATTTCATTCTAGGCAAGTAGATAGAGGATGCAGCAATATGGGTTAGTACAAGTCGTTCCATGCATCCATTGAGGGTCTTGTGATGTCTCCTCCTTGCTTAGGAGGTAGGATAACTGTAATGGCAAAGAGACATCTTTGGACCTTCTGTTCTGGGCCAGGCACAAATAATTTTCCTAAGTATCTATGTTTAATGTTAGACACACCACTACAAAGGTGAAGAAACGAAGGCACAAAAAGGAGGCAGTGATTTCTTATGACCACATGAATCATTCAGAAGATGACAGGAAGATTCTTCTCAGAATTCCTCATGTCCTCTTATGATACTACCATCAAGATCCTTCAGGAAGAGGAGTCTATACTCCAGAAAGGGCTAGGAGCTCAGACAACAAGGAATGTAATACCAAATAAACAATAGAAATTGCTGCTTCTCTAGGTGACAGGCATGATTGTAGACACTGGAGCTGACACAGAAGAGCTATAATGGAAGCTGAGCTGGAGGAGGAGTATTGCTTTATATGAGAACGGAAGAGAAGTAATCAGATTGAGGATAAATAGCCATGTGCAGAGCTCGGGCTTTCCCCGATTCTGTGGTGTTCTGTGAATCTGGGAGCATCTTACTGTAATGTAGATTCTAAATCTATAGGTCTGCGTGGTAGCCCAGGAGCCTGCAATTCTAGGAACCTCCCAAGAGATTCTGCTGCTGCTGACTTGTGGAGCCTCTTGGGGTTGCAAGCCTGATTATTTCCTTCTGTACCTCCAGGAAAGTACTTCTAATATCCCAATGGCTCCTGGTATTAGCCTTCATGCAGCTGCTGACAGTTTTGGATGGGGTCTCTGATCTGATGTTCAGTCTGATTTACTAGTAAAAGAAGCAATGAGGGGAACTGGAGAGTCACCTCTCCATGGTTATAATGAGTGGAAGGTCAGGAGCTGGTTGGTCATCAGAAATTTGGACGTGGCAGTAGGCTCCCCAATTTGCAGAGGGAGCTAATGACTTTGGACAGTGACACTGTTTAGAGAGATGGACAGGATGCTATGTTGTAGGGATTCCCAGACCATAGAACCTTGCAAAGATTCTACACCCTCATTCAAGAAACACATGCATGCAATACTGTAGACAATTCCCAGATATTTCCCAAACAAGACCATGAACCCAAGGTTAAGAAAAAAAGTCCTTTTAACTTATCAGGGTTCGTTCCCAGAACTCTTGCAACCCAAATTCCAGTACAAGTAGCAGACAGCATGCATCTATAAAAATAAAAATGATTTTAATCAAAATGCAATTTGTAAATATTTAAACCTTATTCTCATAATAATTAGGACCTCCTGTCTGTTTTCATTGCTCTATGAATGCTTAATACCGACACTCAACCAAGTTTTTCCACATTTTTTTCAAATTTTAATTGTTTTATTATCTCTTAGTTAACAATGCTTCACAACCAATTAGAGAAATAAATTGGCCTAATGAATTAATTATTAAAATCCACCTCTGCCATTGCTGGCTGGAGATGCTCATGAATATTGGAAGCGTGCCCTCTCCTCAGCAGTGTGTACAGAGTTGCTACGGGCTTCTAAGATGAGTGCCAGGTGATGAGGAGAAAGATTAGGGCTTCAAGCTGATGGAAATCCAATTATACAACACTGAAATGCAATTGGATTTTTTTTACACTATTTTAAGCATGTGTATAATTTTAAAGTTTGAGACCTAATGCACATGGTTTTAAACTGAAGACTCCAAGAGAAGTGACTTATTTGGCTCAGTCTGAGTTGTGTTACTGGCATCACTAATATGCCAGTTGATCCAGATACAAAGAAATGACTTTATAGACCATTGGGCTGGACAAGGGACAGCCATTCTGAGTTCTGCAGGGAGAGAAACCTGGAGTAGTGGGAGAACTCCAACAAGAAGGGCAGGGGTCTGTTTCCGAGACCTGGTTGGGTTGCTGCCCACTTCACTTCTTTGAAACTTGGTCCTCAGCTCTGCTTCATTTTCACTCTGTGTAGGATCTGTCTGGCTAGCTCTGTTCTCTGTCTACTAATACTGAGTGTGTGTAAAATCTAAACAGCCTCTTTGAGGTACTGCGGATTGAACCAGTGCCTTGCACCTACTAAACACACTCTATCCTACCTCCAAAGGGTTCTTCGGAAACAAAGCTGTCCACTTTGGCATTGCAGGTTGGCTGTCTAGAGTTTTTGAGTAAATTTTCACTTACCCCATGTCTCCATCTCTGACATTAGCGTTCTAGATACTTTCTTTTCAAATGTAATATCCTGGCCTTTAATGTAAAGGTAAGGATCATTGTAGGATGTGTTTTTTAAAATCATGATCCACAAAAATAAACTAATCTTAAGTTTTGCTATACATTTTTTTGAGGTGGAGTATCATTTAATCTAGGCTGGCTTAGAACTCACTATCTAGTGGAGGACCATATTCATAATCCTCCTTCTTCCACCTCTCAAACACCGGGATTACAAGCATGAACAACCACATCATTATTTTTTCTCCAAGAAAGATGTCTATAATTTCTTAAAGAATATAATACTCCTGGGAAACAAAGTCTTTAGCAATAAGATGACAGTGTGTATGTACACACTGTCAAATAAAAAACTGAATGCAGAAATAATAAACACCCAGGGACTGAGTTTCATTGTTTTTATTTTGTTTATAATTATGTGAATTGAATGTGTGTATTTGTGTGTATGTGCACATGTGAGTGAGTGTGCCCACAGAATCCAGAAGAGAACATTGAGATCCCTGGAGTGGAGGAGTTACTGGTGGTCTGTGGGCTCCTGATGTGCATTTAGGACCTGAACTCAGGCCCTCTGCAAGAGCAGCAAGTGCTCCTAATAGTTGAGTCATCTCTCTGTTCCTTGGTCTAGTGTTTGATGGAGTTGGTCAATAAGGTTCATCCCTCATGCCAACCAGGATCAATGATAAAGACTGCTGAGAATAATTGAGGTTCATGACAGGGGAGGGTGTCGGAATTGATGGGTGAGGTCCTGTAGCACAGGAGTGGGGATTGGGTGTCAGGCAAAATTCCTTCTTGCACTATTACATGGTATTCACCCCATAGTGAAAGCACCTGTGTAAATAACAGCAACAACGTTTGTATTCCTGATTGCCAACTTTGGGTTCACTGCAGAAAGTTCTAAAGAATAGTTAAAAATAAGACAGTAGACATCATCAGCACTCTGTCACCTAGAGGTGTGTTCACAGCATTCTGAGATATCCCTCTTCCCCACTAAAGCACTGTTTTCTAAGAATGGAGTATTTATCACGTTGTAAATGGACTCAAAACCTTCCTGAATCATTTAAAATACCTCCCTGGCATTCCTTTATAGGAATCTTCTTGTAGTTTGACCATTAGTCTTGTATATGGCAGTTCCATTTTTTAATGATTTGAATTACCCCAATTCCATGAAAATTTTTGTAGTCAAATCTTTGTGCATAGGTGTGATTTTTAAGTATTTATCTTTATTACTTTTAATTATGAGTGTGTGTTGAAGGGAGTGTTGTGTGCACATGAGTGCAGTTGCCTGTGAAGCCAGAGGCATCAGGTCCTGGAGGAGCTGGAGTTGCAGGAGGATGTGAGGTACCATGTGTGGGTGCTGGGAAGAGAATGCAGATCCTCTGGAAAAGCAGCACATTCTCTTAACTACTGAGCCATGTCTCCAGCTTTGTGATTATTGTGTTAAAATGCATTCTTATAACAAATTTCTGGAACAACATAAACATAAATGATTTTTATATGTGTCAATGAATTGTACTTCCGAAGTGTAGAAACATGTTCACCAAATCCCTCCAAATTGAAAGTGGTAGTTTTAAATATGTCCAAAGACTGGTTAAGATTTAAGAGACTGATAAAAAAGAATTCAGTGGTTTAAATGAATAACTAGCTTTTTCCAAACTAGTCTCTGTACATGGAATTACAATGAATCACATTAATGTCATATTTGGAACTATGTGGGTGGCAAAAATACTTTTATTAAACATAAGATATAATGGAACAAGATACCCGCTTATCACAAATATCTTGACTCATTAGATGGGTCAGGACTTCATAATGAACTCTACTTTGACATGTGTTAGAGAAATCACAAAAGTTCATACAAATATGAAGAGCAAAGCTCTACACTGCTATCCTGTTTGTAGCACAGTCTGCTGTTTAAATCAAGACCAAACCATATGAGTTAAGTGACGAAGTAGTCCTGCTGCCTAAGTGGAAAATTCAATCTGAAGATTATACTTATACACCATAAATATGCTTAAAGTAACTGAGGCGGAGGTGTGGCAGATGTATTTGCCTTCCCCACATTCAGTTCAACACACTTTACAGGGCAATCACAGTGCAGCTATAGGTGCATTCGGGACAAGTAAAAATCATTAAAAGATTCAACCAGTTTTGTCCTTTATTTGGCATTGAGGGTAACAGTCCTAGGTTGGATGAGAGAGAGTCCAAGAGATAGCAGCAAAAGAAGACACAAGCATGCCCACGATCATTATAAAGGACAAACACTCTAAGATGGATCCACTGGGAAGCTTGATTGGAATGAAATTTTGGTGAGAGTCCCTATCTGCTCTTTGTAAGGTCTTCATATGATTCTTCTAACCTAGACAATGTGCTAGCAAAGCAAGGTGTCTGGAAATCAGCACGGCTTAGAAGCATCCATCTTCCCATTATCCCCTCCATATTTTTCAGTTCCTTTCTCTCCTAAGTTTAGGAAATGAATAACATTAGGTAAAACTCCCCATTTCATACTACCTACCATCCCCTTTGATTTGACCAACTGAAGAAATTCTGTGTCTATGTATCTGTAAATATCTATCTATCTATCTATCTATCTATCTATCTATCTATCTATCTACCTACTTACCTAACTTCCTACCTACCAATCTATATATCTTCCATCCAACTTTCTGTCTACCCAATCAATCTATAAGCTGCTATCCTCCTATTGGGGAAGAAAAAAATGAAGTCAATAAATATTTTGTCTTTTCATTCCAAGTTGCTATCACAGAGATGAACAATTATTGTTGAAAGATATGATTAAATAATCCAAACAATATTCATTTACTCATCCAATCATAAACTACTTGGCTATCCACTCTATATTCAACACTGTGTAGTGTTTAAAAAAAACTAGCCCCATCTCCAAAAGCTAAGGAAACACTGGGAATGTATGAGAGAACACATGTCACAACATCATCTTTCAGAATCAGACTCTGTATGTTTGAGAAACAGACATTTGTTTGCCAATACACTGCAGCATGGAAGGAAAAAACAAGCCTCTTTGTGCCTTTGAAACCACAACAGCTGCTTTGAAAAAAAAACATAAAAATAGTAAAGCATGCAATGGTAATTGCTCAACTTGTTGTTTGATTGCTGGATTAAAAACCCCCGATTTGTAATTACAGCTCTCAGGAAAACAAATTCCTAACTCTGAAAATATCTGTCCTTTGGTGATACTTTTAAAAACAGTGTTTGTTGAGGGATTTTGATGTGTATTTTAGTCATCCTAAAAATTCAATTCATGTTTATTACTAGAGAAAATGTATGATGTAGGTCTGGTTTATCAAAATGAATTGTTGTACCATGTAGTATCCTATAAAATGTAATTTTCTAGTATTACAACATACTAGGAATGGCAGTAATCACACTCTTTAAGAGTTTATGTGTACGTGTGCATGTGTGTGCACATGTGTGTGTTCACGTGTGTGTGTGCATGCACATGCACGAAGGTACTCAGAGGCCATGAAAGAACATCCGACCCCCTACAGCTGGAGTTAGAGGTATCTGTGAGCTGCCTCACATGGGTGCTGGGAACCGAACTTTGGTCTTCTGTAAGAGTAGCAAGTACTCTTAGCCACTAAGCCATCTCTCCAGCCCCCTCTTCCCTCCTGTACCATTTCTTTAGCAGCTGATTTAGGTTCTGGGAATTGAACTCTGATCCTTTGCAAGAGCAGCAAGCATTTTTAACCACCAAACTATCCCCACATTATATATACATATATATGATAATATTCTTTATATTAAAAAAATGAAAAGGACCAAGTGTGCGGCTCCCATTATAGAAGAATGCTTACCAATCATGCAAGGCTCTCACTTCAATCCCAAGGACTTCAAACAACCAACCTAAAAAGACTTAGAGATCCAATCAGAAGTGTTTTATACTGACACCAGCCATATTTCTGTTTGATAAAAGACCAAATCTCTACATTTTACTATGTAATCATTCAGAAGTTTTGGGATGACGCCTTCTAAGGGTCCTCCAGTATTGCAATCCTATCTCATATATGTTGCTCATCTTTGGTCACTGCCTACAGCTCATGTCTTTTGTGCCTTAATATACTACAGGAACTGTCAGCAGAGGCTGGAGGTGAGATCTGCAGTGAGAAGCAGAGGTAAAAGGTACAGTTATCGCCAAGCTTCTCCACATGGAAAGGGTGAGAAACCACTCTCCAGAGTGGGCTGCCACACAACGATCTCCTCACTACCCACATGATACTGAGGGGAGCTGAAGGTATTTACACACCCATTGATACAGGACACTGGAGAAGGGGATATCCTGTGGTTGGTACTGATTTAAGTTGTTTTGAAACTTTGGGTTCCTAAAGGGGCACTCAAGGATATACAAGGGCTGGAAGCACAAAAATAACTGAGCATCCTTGAAATCAATCTTTGGAGGGGACCCAGTGGTACCTGAACTTTCATGAATCCCACCCTTCCCCCCATGTAGTCTATAGTTCCTTGCCTCAGGATTTTTACCCACTGGATGTGTTTCCTATCTCCCTTCTGGAAAGCTTGAAGTTCTTAACCAGCCTTTTTAAAGCACTACATGCTCAGTGGGTAAGATGCCTCTTCTAAAGTAGAATAATTACTCTTTTCTTGTCAATCATTAAATGATTAAACCAGCAAATTTACCATTGCTTCAAGATCTGGCCCAACCCTGAGTAAAACAATAAACTAAAGTTGGGTTTCATAATGTTTACGGCTACATTTGCAATTATGGATTGTTTATTGTCAACCGTGTTTGACAACTAGACTATAGTATCTCCTGCTTTCCTTTCCCATGTTTTTCTCCTCTAGAGATTTATTTTATTATTTTTTTAAAATTGTGTGTGTGCACGCACGCATGTGTTCTCGATAATGTGTGCTTGTGCATGCTGATGCCAAAGGCCTCTGATCCTCTTGGAGCTGGAGTTATAGGTGGTTGTGAACCACTGAGTCTTCCTCAAGAGTGATGTGTATTCTTAACTGCTGAGTCATCTCTTTATCTCCATCTTCTCTGCTCTTTCTTCCTCCACTTGAGGAAAATTGGACCCATGGGTGTTTTTAAACTAAGTGTGCACACATAATTGCTTCTGCTTATGTCTTACTGAAGAACACCTTGAATGATTCAATACAATTTAGTAGCACATGCCTGAGGCAGACTGAATCTCTTCTCTGGCAGTCATCAACTGCCGATAGCCAATTGGGCTTCACGAGTCTCTCCCTGACTCACACTGGAATTTTGATGGGCTTGATCTTGTGCAGGTCTTATAGGCAGGCAACCACAGGCTCCGTGAGTTCATTGGTGCAGAGTCCGGCCATGCCCAGTCTGTTTTGCAGCAGTCCTCCTCAGCCTTTGAGTTTTGCAATCTCCTGGGCCCCCTGTTATCTGATGTTGCCTGGGCGTCAGTGAGATGAATAAGATGCAGATGTCCCACAGATGGGAAGCACTAATTGGATTCAGTGAGTTTTTTAAAAGAGGCATGAAGTTGGGAGGGGAAATGATGGAGAGGGGTCTGGGAAGAGTTGTAGGGGAGAGTGAGAGGTGGGCATGGTCAAAATACACCGTGTGCATGTATGAAATTCTCAAAGAATAAATAAAAATATAGTTATAAAATATTACAAAACTGAATGAGAGTTCAAATCACAGATATAAGATTATGTTAGTGGCTTTGGTGCCAATACACCTGACATGACAACTTCCTGGAGGAAAGACTGACTTTTGGTACCCAGTTTTAGAATTTTAGTCTGTAGTCAGTTGGCTTCCTTACCTTGGCTCTTGGACCTTGTGGCAAAGAAGATTGTTACCATGATGGTGAATAAGAAACAGAACGAACAATATATTAGACACCAAGTGGAACCTTTAAAGGTTCCTTCCTTCAGTTAGGCCCATTTCCTAGTGTTTCCATGACCTAGCAAAATAAAGCCATTAACCAGCAACCATGTGCAACACATGAGCCTGTTAAGATATTTAATATTCAAACTACAGTAACAAGAATGCATTGAGTACATTAAATATATGGATATAACACTTTAGACATTCCTGGTGAGCACACACATGTGCACTGTCTTCCAAGTTAAAGACTGTCAAGAAAGAGTCAACACATGCTTACAATTGAAAATGCATGAAATAATGCCATGATAAAGGCACCAAAGAGACTAGGAGAGCAGAACAGAGAATGAGATGATCTTAGAAGGGACAGTATTTAAAGCACCTTCTGAATACTGAATGGTATAGCAAAATCTGGCAGAGAAAATAGGAAGAGGTATTACATGTTTCTAAACATTTCAGCCTTCAGAATTGCTTGGCAGCTGCTGATAACCCTATTCCTTGAGATGACCTTCAGAGTCTCAGCATTGGCAGATCTGGGGAAGGTCCAAACACTTGCATGTAGACAAGTTCAGGTACTGCTGATATTGCTGGTTCTGTGACTGCCCTTGTCAAACCAAGGTCTACACAGAAAACACAGCAACACAGGAGGAATGTGTTCAGGGAATGAGAGCTCCGAGAGACATGATAGAGGTTTCTGAGCAAGAGGAAGTTGCTGCCATTCCTAAGAAAGGGAAAAGCTCTAGCAGCACCATGTAGGGCAGTTTAGAAGGTAGAAAACCAGAGAGAGGGAACAAGGGCCTGACATCTGATTCTGAGAATGAAAAGGAACAGAAGAGACATTAGAGACATCACAAAAGTCCTTCCCATGTGGCTTGCACCTGGCACACAGTGTGGCAGGAGAGAAAAGGGTCTGGGTGGGGGCAACATTGGTTCTGATGTTAAAGACTAAGATGGGAGGCTGGGAGTATTCGTGTGAGAAGAGGGTGCAAGCACTTCTGCATGATGTGGTTGCACCCTCATGATGATGGTTAGGACACATAGGCAGGGAGCTTAAATGGTGATATCTGGGAGGCAGATACTGGAGTCCTGAGGAATTTCTAATAAAAAGGATATACAGAGAAATTGTACCAGACTGAGGACTCTGCAATATATTTGGCAGGAAGAGCTAGGAGTAGGGAATCGGGATTTGAGGAATCAGAGAATGAGAAAAATGCATCTCTGTGAAGTTAATGGATGGAGATTTCATGATAGAAGCTCTTGTCAGCCCTGGAAAATGGCACTGAAATACATCTAAGGCTAAACAAGTATGAGTCCTTTTAAGTTGACCATTAGTTCATGGGTATCTTTCAAAACTAGGAGTATCACGGGGCTGGTGTCAGGGTTTGAAGGATGAACAGGAGGTTTACAAAATGGTGTTGCTGAGTGTCTTCGCTACTTTTGCATTGCTATGGCAAAATACCCAACAGAAAAATTTGAAAAAAAGAAGGATTGATTTTGGTCCACGGTTTTAGAGAGCTTAAGTCCCTTAGGTTGGGCTGTCACAGCAGTAAGAACAGTAAGAATAAGCTGTATGTCATAGCAGGACAGGCAGGAGGCAGAGTGTATCCAGAGTCAAGGGCCAGGTAATAACCTTCAAATCCCCATGCCTAGAGACTTATTTCCACCTGGTAGGACCCACCTCATAAAGCCTCCACAGCCTTTCAAAATAGAAGCACCAGATGGGGACGACACATTCCAAACATGATCCCCTGGGACACGTTTCAGATTCAAACCATAACACCGAGCATGGAGGGATTCTTTGAGACCAAGGGAATGTGCGACAACATTCAAAGCTATACAGACATTTCACACTTTCAAAAAAAGCCAGAAAGGGGACTGTCAATGACTTAACGCACTATGTCCTCAAGCAAACCAGATTATTTAAGAAGAAATTCATTTTAAAGGGAAGTGGAAATGTTTTGGCACCTAAAAAGTATTGTTAACTGCATTCCACACAATGTGTTAAGTGACGAGTTCCAAGTGTGATGTTTTCAAGAGCAAAGATGAGTCATTTCCTTCGTGAGAAGAATTTCTAACTGAACTAACAAGATAACTTGATAGGTTTTGGCTCCAAACTTTACTAAAAAAAAATCTTAAAAAGGCAAATCCCAGCCCACACAATAATCAAAAAGTAAAACCCATTTGCAGTATATTAAGGATCAAAGAGGGATGGGGGACTGAGCATCATCTAAATTAGCAACTGCTGTTCCTGTACAGTTTTGTAGCAATTACATTTGAAGATAAATTGTCACAAATTAATTCTTGTCCATCTCTGGAATTCTCATTTACGCATATGCAAGGTGAAAGTATTCTCAGTTTTTATCTACCAAAAAATAATAGATTAAATGATACTGAGCAGAATTCTTGTGAGGAACTGTTTTTATATTAAAGATTCATTTTGTAATGGCACCACTTATCATTTTCCAAATTAGATTTTTCAGAAGTATTCCCTTTCAGGCAGTTAAAGGTAAGTGTGAAGTTTCATCATTCCTCTTAGGACTTAGCTTGGGACATTACAAGCCAGACAGAACACACAAGAAGAGCTTAGGGAAATGTATGAGACCAAAGACTTTCTGAACCATGTAAGTTAACACTGAAAGGCCCCCTAGAGACCACTAAGACACAAGTTGGGGTTCATCACCTGAACACATATCCAATTAGACAACCCAGGCTGGTGATAGAGCAATGAGCATTTGGTTTGAAACTGAGCCAGCAAAACAAGTCTCCAACTAGCCAAAGAGGGTTCTCGACCATACATCGGAGGTAGTGTCAGTCTTTGTCAGAGAATGAACGTGCTCTGTATCTGGCTGTATGGAGATTAGATAATCTATCAAAAGTGCTGACCCCATTTATTTACCTTTGAGTGATACTGATGAATCATAGAAAAAAAAAAGCCTTAAAAGTCCTTGGGGAAGAACTGAAGACTTATTCCATTCCCTGGAGATTATCTTTCTGAAGAGATCAATGCAGAGGTTTTAAAAATAAGGTGGGATGGGGAGCCATTGTCTTTCATGGTCACTTGTTAAGTCTAGAAAGACTTGATCAGAACACAGGTTGTCACAACTGAAAAGGGCTGCTACTGGTTCAGAGCATTAGAGGTAGTCATGCTTCTTAACTGCCTGCAAAGTACAGGACAGTCCCCAGGTCCTCTGATAAATAAAGATCCTGTCCTAAATGTTACTAGCACCAAAGCTGAGAAATGCTGGGACATTCTTTAGAATGAGAAGGCAGTAGTAATTTCCCTTTTCCTCTTTACTAAAACATATTTTACTGAACACATTTTAAGAACACAAAGTGTTGGACTGGGATATATCTCTGTTGTTGGGCATGGCCTAGCAAAGATCTCAAAGGGGAAGAATCAGAGTTTATAGTCGGGGAGCTTGAGAGTGACGTCACTCAGACACATCCTCATCATGTTTAATCTCTCATCCCTGCTTTCGGTAGCTCTGTCCACTTTGAAATACTTCCCTTGATGTCCCTCATCAGCCTCCTCTCCCTCCCAGGCAACAAGTGGTGGACCCTATTAGAGTTAGTGATTCCTGAAGGGTGAGAAAGTAACGGACCACCATCCAGATTCCTGCCATGGCTTCTTCTCAGATCTTACAGCCGGATGAGCCTGGATGCTTGGTGCAAAGTTGCCAGAACTCTGTAAGTCACTGAGCATGGAAGTATCGACCCACCACCAGCTTTCAAACAAGTGAACACTGAGAGCTGTTCCGAGAATGGGACCACATGGAAGCTGGGTTCATCAACAGAGAGTAAGACAATGCAGTCTGTCAACAAATCAGTTACACACATGAGCTCGGAAAGGGTACATTAATTTGGGTAGCCTGACATTTTTATCACCATGCTCCCTTCTTTTTTTTTTTTTGGTTTTTCGAGACAGGGTTTCTCTGTGTAGCTTTGCGCCTGTCCTGGAACTCACTTGGTAGCCCAGGCTGGCCTCGAACTCACAGAGATCCGCCTGGCTCTGCCTCCCGAGTGCTGGGATTAAAGGCGTGCGCCACCACCGCCCGGCTCCATGCTCCCTTCTTATACTCTGGTGAAGTGTCTCTTTCCTCTTATTTAGCCATATACATAAACTCTTCATATTTTCTCATTCCTGCCATTCAAGAATGGAGAATGAATTGTATTAATTTTCTCTTAAAACAGAAGACAAAACTTGAAACTTTCAGTCACTTCCAAACTGGAATAAAATGATCTTGGGGGCCAAAGGGCACTGCCCTGGGAAGACTGTCAACACTCACTGAGTTTGGGACTGTAATCAATCCTTGAGTCGCTAACTTTCCAATATTATATTTCACCAATCATGAGATGCACGGTTCTAGGGAGCATTGCAACATTTAAAAACTCAGAACACGTCTGATAATGGCAGCAATAACAACAAAAGTACCGTGTCAGAGTTTAATTGCTTTTCCCTTCTTTGCTGGCAGTAGAAATCATGGTACAGCTTCTACTTGATGACATTTTAGATTCAATGAAATAAAAGTACGAGCTTTTCCAGCTTCTAAACTCACTCTGATCAAGCAGGTCATCTCTAATTGCTCCTTTTAAAAATGCATGTATACACATCAACTCTCTTTTAAATTTGTTCCTGTTCGGTTTCTATTTTTGCCTAATTATATATTCCATTTGCGAGCACATAAAAATGATTAATTTTGAGTGTGGCTTTTTGTTCTTTGGACTGTTCCTTTTACTTTTGCACTAATTACTAATGACAACTCTGACTTACAAGGTCTAAACATATTTATTTATTTTAATAAGTTGCTGGGCTGAGAAAAAGCAGAGGTTCAAATCTTCTCGGAGTCTTTGGCATTAACTGGCTTCATGAGTTTTATGGCAGTTACTTGAGTTAATCTACTTTAATATATAGTTCAATTTGCCTGCGATTCAAAGGGCTGTGTGAAATAAAATTATCATGCCAGAACCGAGAAAATATATTTTCTAAATGTAATTACGTAAATTTGAATCCAGTGATGCTGTGCACAACGGTGTTAACAATGCCCACGGGCTATCAAATCATGGCAGCTACCAACACTTTGTTCAATCACATCTCAGGATAGAAGCCGTTTCTGGCCTGGGTAAGCAAAGATCTTGACTGATAAGCTTCAACAGGGTGCCCTACTGCAGGATTTGAGGGAAGAAATGAGGCAGGAATTTCTTCTTGGGTCAGTAAAGCCCTATTAAGTAGTTCTCATTTGCAGGCAGTTTTTCTTGCTTTTTGCCCCAACTTTCCTTAGCTTAATTTAGCCTCATTAACTCCAACCAAAGCTCCAGATGATCGACGAGATGCCGTGCAGCCTTAACATCCCAGGATTCTGCTAAATGCTTCCTGCCTGAACTTCCAAAGATGTCTTAGCTTCTTCTTTGCAATTAATTCCTCCTCCTCCTCCTGCTGTCCCCGCCCTGGCATAGCTGTCAGTCGAGCAGTGAGGAACTTCTGTTCTTTTTTATTTTTATCCTGATGCATGAACCTTTACAGTCCCTGCATGGCCCTCTCTGAACTTGTTCTGGTTGACTTATGTTCCGTTGCCAGTGAAATGACCCAGCCACACATCATTGGATGGGGAACTGCTGACCACAAGGCTTCCAACAGTGCATAGAGCATCAGTATTGCTGACTGGACATTGGGTTGCTTGGCCCCTGTACATCACCTCACTATTTTTTTCCTGCATAATTGAGCTCTTACTTTCCTGAATTCATCTGTAATGAGTTTATTAATCTTTTTGTATGCTCTCCCCTCTGGACTTGCATCAATATTCACATGCTGTAAATTTTGTCCAAATTACTTTATCAATACAAATGACTAATTTGAGGAGCACTGATCCATCCATTTTTTTGCCTTACTGTCTTGAATACAAAAATCAAAGGCACTAAAGGACGTCTGCATATAATTATTATATATTTTCTCAGTAGCGTTATACTATTTAAAAAATGTTATACTAAAAAAATTTATTGCACAATTTGCCACCTAGACACGGACAGCTCGAAGGGTTCCTGGGACATTAACTAGCCTGATGAACTTAAGTTTTCTAAACTGAATGTTTTCTGGAAAGATAGCTCATCATCTTGATTGCAAAGTTCTTTAGCTGTGATTCCCCCTAAACAAGCAACTGTGCTAACTGTGCTAACAAGTAACAAGTCACTCTTGTGTGTCTAAGGGGGAAAATGGTATGGGATGTAAATGAGTTACTTTAACTGGATGCCAGGGGAAGGTTTGTAATGGGCAGCAATAGCAGAAGGATAAAATTAGCTTCCTTGCATGTGTGGCCCACTCACTTTTCCTCTTCTTGGATTGCAGCCTTTTGGTGAAGTGCCCAGACTTTGAGTTTTTTTTTCCTCTCTTGCACATATGGAATGATAAGCCATGGATTAAAAAATTAATTCCAAGGATTTATATACCCCTAAACTCATTCTAACCCAATAAATAAACATCCAGCCTCAGAAGGTTTAGGAATCTAGTGTTTTCTTGCCTATGACTTCTCACTCATGATGCTCTTCTTTATTCCTTCTCCATGGAGTCATGGGATGAACATGGTCTGGTTTGACATCACAGGATCTGGGTTTGTTATATGTTTTCATTTATTTTGTCTTAGATGGTTATCACCGATAAAATGATGATCATAAGAATAGTTGAAAATGATTATATAGTGCTGATAGGAAAGTAAAGTAAATGATTTGTATGAAAGTGGTTTACAATAGCAAAGTGGTATGCCATACTACATATTGCTTCATGGATTCTGAGTTCAGTTACTGGTAGTGTCTTCAGCTTTTGCCTATGTCCATTCACTTACAAAAACATTTGCCTCTAAAAGTTGTGTTCATGTCTGCATTTCCCTTTTCATCCTTAGGGTCATGTTAAATTCAACCTAAGCTATGGTGGGAACATCATAGACTCTACATTATCACGGAGCCTGACCATGTGACTGTACAACTGGCCTGGGGTCCCCAGATTGGTGACACATATGGCATAACATGTCAGTTTCTAGTGATAATGTCTGAGTTAGGAAAGGTGTGTGTCTTCAGCATGGGTCTCACATTCAACATGAAAAAAAACCCCATGGTTTTTCGTTTTTTTCTGTGTGCCATAATTTGTATTTTTAGTGTCCCCCAAAGATCCATGTATTAAAGGCTCAGTCTTCAAGATGGTACTGTTGCGAGCGGGTGGAACCTTTACAATAAGTGGGGCTAAGACTCTGGTCATTGAGAGTGTGCCCTTGAAATAGGGTAGGGTGCTTGTACTCTTTTACCTCTCACATCAATTCAGCTCTCTCTTTTCCCACTTCCCTCTCTCTTTCAGATAATTTTGCTCTGCTATACATCCCCTCTGGCCAAAGCAATGAGGCCAACTAATCCTTTACTAAAATCTCCACAACCATAATCCAGAATACACCTTTCTCTTATTTAAGTTGATTATTTTAAGGTATCTTGCTGTCATGATGGAAAGTTAACACAGGTGGAATTATGCTGAATGTCGGTAAATATAAGATTACCAGGTGTTATGAAATATTTAAAATTTTAGTAGGACACCAACATAGCATTTTTTAAACCAAAAAAATTGAGAAAAGCCTGGCATTTTGAAGATGGCATTAACTGACTACAGTTTTGAAAGCTAACAATCCCTTATTGATATACACATTGGTGGTAGGACAACATATTTCAAAAAGATGCATAGGTGAATTATCTCCAAATGAGCATGACCTCAGCTCCTGTATGATTCCAAGTTGATCCACAATCTCCTCTTGCATGCATCCTTTCCATAGATGATGATGAAATACCATGTGTGTGAAGAGCCCTTTATAAATTCTACCACTTGGGGAAAACTGAAGAGAGTCACATGAATAGACATGTACCACAGAAAGGCCAATTAAAAAGTGGGCATTTCTTTGTCTTATCGTTACCACGGTAGAACGTGACAGTTAGAACGTGTTATTCAAGTTCTGCACAGCCGGTAGTGTCTGCGGACCACGCAAGGCTTCTATTTGCCGCCTGGAGATCTTTACAAGGGAGCAGAAAGACCCTGAACATTCTCTGGAGTGGGTTTTGGGATTTATTCATGGGGGAGAACAACAAGAACTAAAAGGATGGAGAGAGCATCCCTGGCCATGATAGAGATTCAGGAAAGGGCCGTACAGTGCTGCCATGTGGAAGCCATATGGGCTGTCCTATAACCAGAACATATGCTCATTATGCAGCCCCAATTACGAGCTGATAGAAAGGCATCCTGGAAAAGATCAGAGTTAAAAATAGCTTCTTAGATGACACAATGACCTCTGATGTGACTAGCCAAAGCATACAGGCTAATCCCGTTCCTCTACTTGGAAAGCCAGATAAGCAAACCTTACGGGAGAGTCCGGAAGGAAGAAGCTGGTAGTGTCACCTGAGGACTGACTTTAAACTGGTCGTTTGTCACCCACAGTAATGCCATCTACTTTTACTTACGTAAGGGTTGCATAGTGACATCTAGCTGTTCCTTTGAGTCTGGAATGTCTTTGCCATAGTCACCAGCTTTTTAGAACTACAGTAACCTTGGGAATAACAAATCACTTCCTGCATCTTTTCCTATTATGTTAGGCAGTGGTCATACCCATCCTTCAGCTTCATAATCTTTCCCCATACCATACCATACATCACCACCACCTATTGTATACTGCAGTGCAGCAGATTTATTTCCCTCACAGTCTCTCAACAAACACATGATGGGATGTTTCAGTTCTCATCAGGACCCCAGACAAGTCACTGTGGGGGATCCATCCTCCCTTCCTTTCACTTTACTCCGTCTCTCCTCCACCCTCCCTCTTTCCATCTCTACTTTTCTTATTCCTTCCCTCTTTCTTTCATCTGATGATATTTTGCTGGGCAGAATGCCAGACATTGAGAATATAGTAATTAATCAAAATCTCTTCCTTTATGTAGTGTAGTGTGTGTGTGTGTGTGTGTGTGTGTGTGTGTGTGTGTGTGTGTGTGTGTGTGTTTGGGGAAGGATATAGTTTGAGTAGCCTGAGAAAATCACCACGGAAATGATATGTTAAGTGGTTGTTTGGTGTTCTGATTATGTGCTACAGCTTGAGAATAGAAACTGCTTTACACATGATGGTCAGAAGTGACCTCTTGAGTAGACACTGAAGTAACACAAAGTTAGACATGGGACCATCTATAGCAGGGGTGTTCTAGAAGGGACATTCAGTGCAAAGCCCCAAGATAGGGCTGAGTTAGATGCCTTGACACACAAAAGCCCCTGTGACTGGAGGGTGATGAGAGGCGAAGAAAGGAGTCTATGGGGAAGCTGGTGCTATAGATGTTGAGATGACCCAGGGTCTTCATCAGCCACAAAACATGTGAGTCTTACACATGCTCCCACTTCCTCTCTCTCCCATTCAATGTTTCATCCATCTAAGCAATTTATCTCGTGTGTGATTATCCTTTTGTCTATCTTCCAGTCAACAATATCTAACATATCAATTTAGAAAATGCTCAAAGAAACAAGTCATCGCCGGGCAGTGGTGATGCAGATCTTTAATCCCAGCACTTGGGAGGCAGAGGCATGTGGATCTCTATAAGTTCAAGGCCAGCCTGGTTTATAAAGTGAGTTCCAGGACAGCTGGGACTGTTACACAGAGAAACCCTGTCTCAGGAAAAAAAGAGAAGAAAGAAAGGAAGAAAGAAAGAAAGAAAGAAAGAAGTCATCGATGAGTCACTTTTTTCATGTATGTGTCCCATGGGTAGAATAGAGCAGTTAAGAAGGTTTGCAGGGCCAGCAAGTGACAAATGTACCAACTGTCAGACTGGAGCTCAATGAAAGTACTTGGCCTTGATTTGTTGCACAATGCACAGCCCATAAATGTGTGTTCTAAGGTGGTTGGTCTCCATTATACAACCTTTCCCAGGAGACATAGGAAATGCTTGGTTGCCCTTAACTACTTGTAAACTGGCTGTTACAGAATAGGAAGTGGGCTTTTCATGCCATCAATCTGTCCTTTTCTGTTTTTGTGCATCTGGAAAGCCCCACGTCTTACATGTTTTCCTCTGGAGCCCCACATCAATCACCCCCTATCCCTTTCCCCTCTCACACACTGGCTTCAGAGTTTGGCACACCAACTCTGTGGTGCGGTTCTTCTGCTGACAAACTTTGTGCTCTTGGGCAGATAACTCAATATTTCTGACTTACCAGTTTCTTTACTGAAAACTGTAAAGCACTACTAGTCATTGGTGTTGGAAAGTGGATTAAGAGATTTGCCTAAGTGTCCAACACAGCATCTGGAACACAGTGAACAGAGATGGATACCAATTGTCTTTTGTACCTGCTTATAACTTGCCGGTGATCTCTAGCTCTGGAGTGGTCTCTGTTTCTGTGGTATTAGGCCCAAGGAGAGTCCCATTAATATGCAATTATCATTACCCCAAACCACACCACCCACTCACTTCTTTCTCTGGGTATCTTGAGATTCTAGGGACCACTAGAGGGAATGTTGGGATTTTTATTTTGAAACTAAGGATCAAGAGACAAATTAGTTATATAATGGAAAACGCATATCTTGGAATCAGGGCATCCTAATCTTGGAGTTATTTTGCAGAAGCATTTGCTGTACATAGCATCACTGTCAGAGAACTAGGCAGGGACTCAATCAACAGATGGGACAAGAGATAGTAAGTTCTGCAAGTTCAGAGTCTGCTGGGAACTGGGTCACATTCAATGACAACATAACATATAGTTCGAGGCATCCAAAGTCCCATGACCCGGGAAAAATCATGTTTTGATCCAATTTAGGACCCATATGTAACTGCTCTACATAAACAGCAACATACCCTGACTTAAGTAATTAAGTCAGAGGATACTCATGTTAGGGAAAAAAAAAATGCATGTTTAGAAATGGCAGCCATTATTAAGTGTTTCTCTGCCATATGCCCACAAATATTCTTTCCCCTTCTTTTCCAAATCAAGAGAAATCAGCCAGCTTGTTGGCCTTGGCAAAGTTTAAATAATGACACAGTTTAAATTCTTGGATTCTAAAAGAACATAGATGCACATGTTGGAATTCTTCTATTTTAAAATATCAATCATCTACTTAATTAAATCACTGGATGTTTTTAAAAATCCATTTGTGAGTCTTTAATATAGCTTGAAATCACCAGCTTATGTTGTTCCAGGTTTTTGAAGATTCATCTTCTAACATATAAATTCGGAATTACTGTAGTTTTAAAAAGTAATACCATCAAGTAGTTTATAATTTAAACAGTCGGAGTGTAATAAAACTATAAACTTCAAACACCATGGGGTTATTGTCAGGCAACTGACCTCCCCTAAATTTGTGCAAACATAATAAAAACAATCCACCAATTTGGTCGCCATTTCTTTTCTTCCCTTTCCCACTCTCGTACCTCTGTTGCACATTTTATCAGTCAAACACTGGGATTCATTAATCATATTTCCAACCTCTAGACAGACAGTTTAGCTATAGTCTTGTGGTTCCCAGCTCATTTGTGAATGGCAGTGCTCTTCCCTGGGAGCATTACATCACAGGCAGTTTGTGCTCCAAATGCCTTTATCCTTTCAACAGGGATGAATGAGTTCCCTAGAAAGGTTTAAATAAATGAATTACCCGACACTGGTTCCCATCCACAGCCTTATTTCACACTGATGGTTATGCAAGAGGGGCAACTCAGTCTGAAGGTAACTGTTAGGTATCTACTGCTAAACTGAAAAATATTTTGGCCATTTATTTTCAACTTGATTACTAACTACAGTTATTTTTTCATTTCCTATAGCTAAAATAATCTTTGAAAGTGTTCTTTCATTTCTATTCTAGATCCCTGCTACTTATTACATTTGAATACAAAATGTCCCCATAGCCTCATGTATTAACACTTGGTCCCCAGCAGGTGATGTTATTTTGGGAAGTGTTGGGACCTTTGGGAGGTTGGGACTAGATGAAGTACAAAGGGGTGTGCCTTTGAAGGTTATAGTTGCTCTCTGTCCCGCTCTCATTCTCTGCGTCCTGTTCAGCATGAAGACTCGTCTCTATCACTTACTTAAGGTATCATAATGTTCTCTGCCCATGTGCCTGGGACCCAGTGCCAGACTGTACACACTGAAACCATGAGCCAAAACAGACCTTTCTTCTTTTGGTTGTTAATGCCAAGGATTTTGTCAGAGACCAGAAAAGTAATGAACATTATGTGTGTCCATGGGCCAGTGGGCATCATCTCATCCAGGGAGTTTGTTTGAAATGTCTAATATCAGACTCCTTCCAAGACCTAGAACACTAGAATCTTCATTTTAGCAAGATTCTCAGATTATTGAAGTGCAGAGTGAAATCTGATAAGCAAGAGTCTGTTTAGCTCCTTTGTGACAGGATCTGAGGAGAAAACCAGCCCCGTTGGGTGATGTCTTTGTTATCTGGCCCCTACCTCTTCTCAGTTCCACTCTCCTACATGTCCACCCCCTAGTTGTACTATCTAGCATGAAAGCTATCAGTCACACATGGCTACTGAGCACTTGAATGGGCTCACTGTGAACTGAGACATACTGTAAGTGGAAAATACATGCAGAATTTCAAAGATTCAATGAGGAAAGAGCTTACGCTATTTCCTATTTTTTTTATGTTGATGACAAATTGAAATGGTGCATATGTGCCTGCCTGCCTATCTATCTTATCTTATCTTATCTTATCTTATCTTATCTTATCTTATCTTATCTTTCTATCTATCTATCTATCTATCTATCTATCTATCTATCTATCATCTATCTGGCAAAGTATCTGCCCAATTTAGGTTTTTACTGATATGATAAACACTGTGACCAAAAGCAACTTGGGGTGGAAAGTGTTTATTTCAGCTTACAGTTATAGTCAATCATTAAGGGAAGTCATAAGAGGAACTCAAGGCAGGAATTTTGAGGCAGGAACTGAATCTGAGGCCATGGAGAAACACTGCTCAGTGGTTTGCTCCTCAGGACTTGCTCAGTCTGTTTTCTTTTACAGCCCAAGACCACCTGCCCACAGAGGGCATTATACTTGTATTCAAATTGCTAACTACCATAAGGTTATTTTGGTTATTACTCTGGCAATTTGATGACCTTGTTGTTGTTGTTAGGATCTCTAATCTTGAACTCACGACTCTTCTCTCTGCACTTTATAAGTGCTGGGATTAAGGCACGGGGCCATCTCAGTCAGTTTTATGTGGTGCTGGGAACTGAACCCAGGGCTTCATGCATGTATATAGGCAAGCTCGCTACCTGCTGAGTTGCAATCCTAACCCAAGCTTGAAGAATAGTAATAAAGACAATTAAGTTATAATAAAGAATAGATCAAATCTTCACCTTTGGAAAACAGTGTTAACGGTTGAAACAACATTGATACGGTGGTCATAGCTTGCAAATGCTAATATGGGTTTGGTTTGTAATGCAGCTTTAACAGGATTCTCTGCCTTTCTGAGCTTGGTTTCTTCATCAAGATGGAATGTGGAGCACCAGGTATCTTCCAGTCCGTAGATTTTGATGACTTTTGTTTTCTCGCCTTTGCATTTCCTTTTAGATATTGAAGGAAAAGCAGTAACACCATTTCTTAAGGTGGCTTTTGTTCACTTTACATACCAAAAGGTGAAGAAAAAAACAAGAGAACAGAAATTTTATAATATCCCATTTAGTTCTTATTCCATAAATATCAACAGTTCTCTTTTAAAAAAAATGCCAAGAAGGAAAAAAACCTGAATAAATGAAAAGCCAAATAAAACTCTTTGCAGTTACAAGCTTTTATAACCCAATAAAACTTAAGAATCAGACCTCGAGGGGATGGTTGCCAACTCTTGCAGAACGAAACAGTTGACATGTGTTCAATTTTGATTCTGAAAACTCATGAAATACTGACTTAATAATCGTCTATCAAAGCAACAAGCAACACGCAGTGTGGAACAAAATCATTCCTGGAAGGGCTACCTGGAAGCTGTCCATTTGGTTCTTTCTTTATTTTTAGCTGGGGTTAATATTGGCAATGACCTTGGAGGAGGGAAGACAGCTTTAACACATTAAAATTAAATTAAATTAAATTAAATTAAAATGACACAGCTCACAAACTTGATAGGGAACAAGCACATTCTCCAATCTAACCAAAGTGTTTGATGTAGAGAGAGCAGACCAAAAATAGCAAAGATGTGGGTGTCGCCAACTTAGAAACACTTTAGAAAGCCTTTGATGATTGCTCCTCAGAAAAGGTTTAATTTAAAATACCAGAAGAGTGGGAATATCAACCTTTAGGGATCTAAACCTCAATATAATATCACTAGATCTCCATTTCCATTTTACCAGAATCCAAAAGCCCCAGAGTCCAAAAGCATCCTAGGCTGCATTATCTTCTCAGCATTCTGATGAAATTAGAAAATTATACTTAGATGCTTCTAAGATATAAGCAACACTGAAATGTTTGCAAGTGGACAGTTTAACAGGTAGAGGCAGGTTTGTGGTGGCTTTCCAGGTAGCATTGTGAGTTTTCCAGGCAAAAAAGTTACTAGTGCATATTCTTCTGTAGGACAGTGTCAGAACCCCTTTGTCTAAGCACAATCTATGATCCAGTTCTATTGATATATAAGTACATACAGGTGGGTAACACACACATCCCTCTATCTACTTCTATATACTTACATGATACAAGCATGCCTATAAACAGCTTCTTTGGGCATCTGTTCAAATATCACAGCATCAGATACCTTCCTTGACTATTCTTAATTAAATGGGCCCTTATCCAGCTCATTTTCCCTCTCACCCTCTTGTCTTTTTTCATTTCTCTTCATAATATTTATCACCACCCACATATGTTTAAGGATGTGCTATAACTCTTGTGAGTCATCGTCAGAGTTCTCACTTTCACCCAAGTGGACCTGGAGATAACAGAAGGGTTTATGTGAGGAGGGGCGTGACCTCCCTAACATTGTAAAAGGACAAGTGTAGTAGCTGTTTAAGAAGAGAGTTTCCATGCAAAGAACCAGACACAGAGAATCACTCAGAGGCCATTGGAACAAATCGGGTGTATAGTGAAGAGGAGATGAACTAGGCTGGTGGCGATGGGGTGGTGACATGTGGTCAGAAATAGCTGAGGACTTGGCAACAGACTCTTCAAATATTTGTTGTAAAGGAAGACTCAGGAATGACAGTATAGTTTAACACCAGAAATACGGTGCAGTTTTCAATTGGTATGGGAAACGGTGAGGGTAGAGGACAGTTGGGTATCAGAAGGTGTGCAGCATGGTGTTGGATAGATGTTGGCCCACTGAAATAGGAATGCTAAAAAACAGCCACTTGAGCATAGAGTCGGGGAAGTGGGCTGAACGGGGAAGGTAAGATCCAATGTTATTTCAGAAAACATGCTGTTTAACTTTGTGATAGCTCGTGACATGACCACAGGAGTCAGTGTGGGTGGAGGAGAAGGGATGAGCAGGATGCAGGTTCTGAGATGCTCCAGGATGAAAGGGTCAGAAACAGGACAAGGCCCCACAGAGGCTGGGAATAAAATCTCTGGTGGGAAATCAAGAGAAGTGGATGCCCTGGAAGTCAGGCATGTGATTTCCCGTGTGAGTGGGGTGGAAAATGACAAAGTGCTGGCAGGTCAGGTAAGATAATGATGGAAAATTAAACCTCAACCTCAAATGCACAGAAGCTACTAGTGTTTCCAAGAAGGGTGAAGACAAAACCTGGGCACTCAAGAGAACCTGAGGACCGGCACTGGAGACAGGGCACGTTAAGGAAAAGGAACAAAGGAATGCTGGGGGTTGGGTTCTTACAAAGGCCTGCCAAGTTGCCTGATGCTCCTGCCTATGTGTGTGGCTCCCCGCTTTTCTCCTTCAGATACCTTTGCGTCCCCAGGTCTCATCTTCCTTTCCATTTCTAATTTTCTGTCTTCTCTGACACCTTCGTCTTTATGTCCTGTGCCTGCTTTCCAGCATTTAATCAAGCCTGCTCATTGTCATTCTGCTTTTCTCTGATGTGTCTTATGCCCTCCATCTCCAATGCATTAGCTCCATAAGTGTATCCAGGTGAAGTAAAGTTTAATAGCAAAGTAGAGCCCAATGCATTCCCTGTGTCCCAAAGAGTTTCTTCTTATTTATCATATGCCCTTCCTCATCTACAAAGTCCTTGTTTTAAAGAGTAGGTGTAAAAATATTATTTCCAAGTCATTCAAAATCTTTAGAAAGTTGTCTGATTGTATGTCTCCCCTCTGTGTGGTCTCCAGGAGGCTGTTTATGCAAAGTCAAGTCCTCGTCCGCTAGGTAGTACAAACTGGAAATGCTACTGTTTGTTCTGGGCAGTGTCAGGGTTAGCTTAGTGAATGTGAGGAGGACTTAGTGGTATTTATTTTGCTTCCCTTGCTCCCGTGAGAGCCTGGACTCAGGTTGGGATAGAGGTTGCTCTCCCCAGAGCCTCACATACTCTTAAGCCCAAGAGGGTCACTCTCAAGAAAGCAGCACAATCGATGCAAGTCAGGGAGCCCAGAAGATCATCACTCAGGACTCCCAGAACCTTCCAGAAGTAGAATGGTGATTTAACCTCTAATCCCAGCCTGACCTAGCAGTGGATTCTGGGCAGTCTTCGTCACCCTGTTTGGGGAGCCAGACTATAAATCAGTGGCACACTCAGCCCCTCTCCATGGTCCTCCTGATCTTTGCATGAAGACAGGTAGGCAAACCTTCAGCTTGCATGTAACTGGCCTTTGGTAAGTGTCCTGGGAAAACCTTACTCACAGCACACTGGCATTTTTTTCCCCGTTCTGTTCTGGGCTTGTGCGCTTGCATGTACAAAGAACACCCCCTGTTCAGAGGGATTTATTCCAAGACCCTGATGGATGCCTGGAATCAAGAATGGTACTGATGCTCCTCAAGTTATGATGGGTTATGTCCCAATATTCCCATTGTAAATTGAAAATGCATTTAATGTTCTAGTTGTCTCTCCACTCAATGATTAGAACACAGTCGGTTCAGTGGGGCCTAACTCAAAGCTTATCTTACAATGAAATGTTGAACATCTCATATTTATTGATTACTGGGCTGACAGTGAAAAACAGCACAGTTGCGTGGGATATACACTTTCACATTACTACAAAGACGAAACAAACTGTAAGTTTAACCACTAAGGAGATAACATTCTGTAGGTATAGTACTATATTTTTGCCTATACACTCACCTATTATAAAGTTTAATAAATTAAGCACAGTAAGAAATTAGTATCAATAACTAATAATAGAACAGTTATAATAACACATTGCCATTATATAAGTTAGTTAAAACTTAGAAACCATTTATTTCTAGAATGTTCTATTTGATAGTCTTGGACCGTGATTGGCCAAGGATGACTGGAGCCCCAGGAAGGGAAGTCAGCTATAAGGGGGAACACCTACCTGAGACTTGGTATAGCCAGGCCGTGGAGAGGTGGTATTAGTGTCTTTTCCAGGAAAAAAAATAAACCTATCTGCACTAAAATATGAACCACAGTACTGTGATAAATATTCAAAATTCTCTTGCTTCTTACCTCCTTTTAATGCTGTAGCTACTTTGCTATAACTTATAAACACAATCACAACACACTCTAACTTAAACAGGGCAACCTTAGTGGGAAGCGACTGTTAAGTTGATCTGTCTGTACACCAGAGGCTAATGCATCAGCCTCGTTCTTGGCCCTGCCATTTCTACCCAGTGTGACAGGAGGAGGTAATCTCTCAGCCCCTTCTGTTCTCATGTCCAGGAAGAAGTATCCATTCCAGTTATCTATTCCTTCATTCAGTTGGAAAATGTTCCTGGTTTTCAACTGCCTTGTTAACTTAAATGCTTTCCTTGGGAATACAGACAGTCCCTGATTTGTAATGGTTGGACAAGATTTTTGTGGCAAAAGTGACATGCATTCTTTGGAAACTGCACTTCAAATTCTGCATATGGATCTTTCCTGGGCTAGTAAAATATGGGCCAATCCTTCCTGGTGATGAACCCCAGCTTCCAGTCCTCTCTGTGATCATGGGGAAGCAGTCCACACCCTTTCCTGGGCTAGTAAAATATGGGCCAATCCTTCCTGGTGATGAACCCCAGCTTCCAGTCCTCTCTGTGATCGTGGGGAAGCAGTCCACATCCTCAGTGTGTTGTCTTGTTTATCTGTGGTGCTCTACAGATGAGGTGTGTTATTTATATTTCTGAGTACAATATTTTTCAAAGTAATAATGGACTTAACGGGACGAATCACAGAAAAGTCTGATTTCTTATGTCTCTGAATTTACATAAAGCTCACATTTCCCCCTCAGTGACAGAAACTAGATAGAGCGTGGTATCCATTTTGCAAAACTCTTTTTTTTAATAATTTAATTTAATTTTACATATCAGCCACGGATTCCCTGTCCTCCCTCCTCCACCGCCCCCCCCCCCTTCCCAATCCACCCCCATTCCCATCTCCTCCAGGGCAAGGACTCCCCTGGGAATTCAGCTCAGCCTGGTAGATTCAATCGAGGCAGGTCCAGTCCCCTCCTTCCATTTTGCAAAACTCTTTACTGCAGGAGAGTTGACTTTGGATTCATGAAACACATCATTTTATAAGTGAGGTACTTTTATGCACA